CTGTTTCGCTGTTGTGAGCTCTTAAATTATCCTTAACCTTTTCTCCAGCCAGAGCTGGACATGGTGCTGGGATTCACCTGCGTTATTGCAGTGGATGAACAGAGGAGGATTGGGATGTTGGAGCAGGGCAGCCATGGAGTGAGTAGGGTGACCTGGGGAAACACCTTCCCTCTGCCATGAGGACTTGGAGATGGGGGAAGGCACTGACAAAAGCCAGTTTTCAACTCATGGTCTTGAAACTCACAGCAAATTCCCTACAACATCATCCAAGCTAGGATTATACCTCCAGCATAGCAGGCCACTCCAAGCCTCTAAAAGTATTCCGCACCTCCAAACTCAAGGTTGACCCTGCTGTGCCCTGAGAAAACCAGCCCTGAGGAGGGTGTTGATCACAACCTCTGCTCTTTTGTCAGACGCATCCCCTGACACCCCTCAGGCTCTTCAGAAAAACCCCCATCCTTTCCCCAGCACAGATGACGATGGCATCCACGTTGCTGGAGCCAAAATAGCTCACAGTTTTCGGTTCCACTGAAGTCAACCTGCTGCAGGAGACAAGTTGGGGGGGAAAAAAATTAAAAATAAAAAGAAGTTTGGGCTTCTGTTTAGGGAGTGAATGGTTAAGCCTTTCCTTTTGAAGATGACACATTTCAACCTGCTAGGCTGCTGCTCCCTGCCAAACCCCATGCGCACTTGGCCTCAGGTTCTTTGCAGAAAGTCTGAGCCTGTGGGGCTGCATGGAAGCATCCTTGAAACTGGACACTTAAGCTACATCCGAATGTTTTTTCTGAGGTGAAGCTTTTAGCTGTTTGTGTGTGAGGGAAAAAAAAATTAGAAGCAAGTAATAATTTCATTTAGATAGACATTTTTATTAAGAAAATTTTAAGTGCATACACATTTATGGGAGAAATTACAATATAAAAGTGTTTATTTTCAAAATAGTCTATGAAAGGAGTAATTTCAAAAGCATACTATAACTCCTCCATAGAAGCTGCCTTACAGGAACACAAATACAAAACCCTTTTCACATTATTTGGGAAGATATTTCTTTTTACATAATAAAAATATAAAGTACAGTATTTACCACATTCTGACAACACTGAGTTCTTAAGGAGTGGAAGATGGGAGGTTCATGCAGCCCTTTCATCATGATACATGTTTTCTTCTCTGTGTCCACCAGAGTTTCATGTTTGCAGACAAGGCTTGTCTTGGTGGAGTGTTGGTAAAGAAAAAAAATCAGATTTTATGTGATGAGTTCTCAGAAAACCCTGGTCACTTTAAATCACATCACTCAAAACAAGTTGCCGGAGAAAAGAAGGACCCTCTAGATGCTAGCGAAGGGAAAATAGCAACAAAAACTTCTATAGGAACTGCATTTTCAACAAAATGTGTATATTTAACTTTAAATATAGCCTTCATTGCAAAATGAACAGTCACGTTTGCTCAAACACCTTAGTTAAAAACACATCAGAAAGTCACCCTTCATCCTTCCTCAGGCAGAATTCAGATAAGATATTCATACATACAAGCATAAAGCTAGTATAAATAAAAAATTGGCACAGCAATAAATACCATCTATTAAAAAAAAAAAAATAATCCAACCTTCGGATTCAACAGCTGCACTTTGAAAATACCACACAGGATGATTTCACATTTATGGAACCTGCTTTTTCAGCACCAGTTCAGTGTAACCTCTTCTCCCTCCTCCTCTTCACGTGTGGTCTCTACATCGCTCCCATCTCCCCGCGCTTCCTTTCTCTGGTTCCATCTTTGGTCAACAGCTAAAGGCAGAAAGGAAAACCTAGCACTGTCCCCCAGCGGGTTTCTGCTAGCGCTGCTCCTCAGCCTGCTCCTGCGGTGGCGTGCGCGGGCGGCACGGCGTGCCATGCGCGGATAGTGTGAGGAGCCTGGGGCAGCCGCCTGAGCCAGTGAGAGATTTCTCTAGCGTGAAGGACACGGCTGCTCTTCCTGATGCATCACGCAAATAATGTCAGGCAAAAAGCAAAGCTTCCCGCTCAAGGTTGAATTTTGGTCTAAAGCAAGAGAAAGCTTTTATCAGGTTCTCACTTAAGTCTTCAGTTACTCCTGGCTGGTCTGTGCCACCCCTGCATTCAGGCTGTGCTCAGCATTGCCCAGGCAGGGGAGGGACCTGGTGCTGGCCCCAAGAGCAGCCCCGTGCCCTGAGTGGTCTCAGCAACGTGAGTAGTGAATCGTCACCAGTGCAGCGGTGCCAGGGCCCGGGTCACCGTGTGAGTCTCGAGACATGCTGGAGGCAGGCAGCCCACAAGGCACCCGGACACCCACCACCTGGCCACAAATATTCCCTAGCCTTGCTGGGCATCCCTCCCCTCCCTGCTGCTACCCATGCATTTCTCCCAGGAACAAATGCCCCTCCTTTTGCACAGTTCACCCCTGCAATGCTCACTAGTTTGCCCCTAGAAAAGAAGACTGATAGGTGACCCCATTTCCTGCAGTACCTCCACTACCTGGCTATACTGTCCAGAGCTGGGACCCTGGGGTTTGGCTGGGGTGCTCCAGCACTGCCCAGCTCAATGCTTCTGCCAAAGTAGTCTGTCTGCCCAGGCTGCAATGTGCCCAGAGACCTTTCCCTGATGCTGCTGACCCCAGATGCACTCCCTGCTAACGAGGACTGCAGCAGAGTGCTGGAAAGGCTGTACAATCAGATCTACCCACCCCATCTTCTCACTGGAAAGCCAATGTTTCCCCTAGAAACAAAATCTTCATGGCCCCTATCATCATCTCAAGGTATGCTGTTGAATCAAAATCAGAGGACTATTTAATTCTACATTTACTGCTCCAATAGGAAGAGATCAGACCTCAAGCTGTCCTTGGATGGGAAGCATGTGTGAAGAATGCTCCTGGGTGAGAAGGACAAGCTCTGTGTCTATGTCAGAACCAAGATTCATCCACATGTTCCCCAAAGTCGTTATTGGCTTTGACACTCACATGTCCACCTCTGGCAAACCACTAGCAATTGCAGGTGCATGTGCGGGGACAGGAGATGGACCCTAGGATATAAAGCACAGTCTGGGGAAGACACAAGAAACTCTAGTTTTCTCATAAAAGTTCTTTCTGTCTTTCACCTTACAACAGAGGTTCTGACCTACTCGCATTAAACCAACAGTCCACTTCTCATCAAGTACAGTGGTACCAGACCTTTCAGAACAGAGACACAATATACTTACAGCACCAGGTTGGTAAGTGATAACAACAGAAGGAATGTCAAAGTCACACACACATACATTTTAGGCACAGCAGTTGGTTTCTGCTTTAAAGCAAATGAGGTGATGCGGTCCCAGCTGAAGCACCCTCTGTAATAGCACTGTTTTGCAGAGAGGAAAATACTCACAAGATTTTTACCTGAATTCACATGGAAATAAGGTAATCCCTGGCTAGCCAAAGTGCCTCTTTGGCACTAAAAGATGCCTGCCACAAAAAGGAGGGCTCAGTGAAACACCCCTCTCGGTGTTCCCGACACAGGCTGCAGGGAAGAGGGAAGACTCCTTCTGAAGCAACCCGCTCAAAAAAAAAAAAAATACAATCTTACAACATTTTTTGTTTACAATACACACACAGATACGTACAAACATAAGCACTGCGCTGCACAGACGTGCTTCCTCCTGGATCCCAGTACACAGCGGAACATGGTTATGGCAGGACTGCAGGTGCCTTTCCGTACACTGTATAGCAAAGGTATTGCATATGTGAGTAGGAACCGGGAGAAAGAAATTTCTGGGTGAGAGAGGGGATTGGCGCAAGAAGTGGTAACTGTCCCCAGGTGTACTTTGCAAAGGAAATTGCAGAGGCTGTCCTGTTCACCGTCAGAGAGAGCCATGACCCCTGGTGAACAGTGAGCGTTGGCCTTCATTTCCACACCGGAGAAACACCACTCCTTCCACAAACTGGGCAGACCCTCTCTTGCCCCAGGCATCTCTTTTCTCCAAAGATATGTTCAGACATCCTCTTTTTAGGTATCTCCAGAGCAATCAGAGATGTTATTGCCCTCAGGTACGTGTGGCTGCAAGGCATTGTTGGTGAAGGGTCATGTGAATGCATCTCTGCCTACTTCAGTGCAAAGCCAGCCAGGCCAGCTGAAGCCACCTCCTATGGATGAGTGGGAAGAGGCACATGGTGCATGGCAGCATATCTGACTCCTCCAGCAACTTACAACATGACTGGGGGTTAGACCTTTAATAACCCATTCCTTTTTTGTGCTAAAATTTGTCATCAGAAACACAGGAACATAGGAAATGCCAGGTGACATCAGATCAGTGTTGTGGTTCCTAACATACACAACTACTACAAACCAAGTACTAGCACCTTGCAATACCAGGTGTGCATTGACCCAGCTGCTCATAGCTGTCACCAAGGTTTCTGATCTTCAGAGAAGGGAGTTAGCCCTTTAGCCCTGAGTTTAATCCCTCACCCAAAATACCTAGGAATGTCACCCATGTTAATGCTGTCCACTTTCATCAACGTCTGATGCTTTTTAGCCTTCCTATGTTCTTGGCCTCCATGACTTCTGGAGGCAAGGAATTCCTCCACTACTTACACAACATCATTGCACTGTACAGTTCATGTCCTTCTAGGTTTAAAACTCCAGGAGACTTGCATGAACCAAAAGAAAGTTAAATAAAGCACGACCTCTACATAGCAAAGGAAATAAAATATTATATAATAACATACGGTTAGTTTAAATTCATATCTGCCTTCAGTGCTAGGTAATGAACCAACCTGTATAAAAACACATTTTTCTCAAATAGTTACATCTTACTATATAAAAATAGCACTGTGAAAGCAAGCCAATTTGTGCAAAAAAAAAAACAAAACCAAAACACAAAAAACCAAAACCCAAACAAAAAAAACCTTTGGAAATGCATGAAGCGTTGCTTTTGTGCTGCGTGATAAGAGTGAAATGTATTCATTCCCTAATACTGGTTATCTGCTCTCTGGGTCCTACAGTAAGAAATCCTGTAGACGGCTTACAATGCTTGCCTCTTACATCTTGAACCTCCTGTTGACGAAGAACAGAGTGAAACACTATTAAGGTTTATTTCAGTTGCAAAAGCTTTGATATCAGGCCTAGTCAAACAGCAAATCTGTGTCTGGACTAACCCAAAGGCATTTCTTTTGCAGTCCCTCCAACCAGTATTTGTCAAACATTTTGGGGGAAGTTCTCCACAAGGAGCTACTGGGACCCAGCAGGGCAAACCCAGCAATGGGAGTTACTTTGGGCAGGTTGTGCTCATCACAGTTAGTAAGGTGTTCAGAGCTAACACAGGAGGAAGGCTGGCTAGGAAGCCCATTCTGGACTTGAAAGCCAGAGCAGAGAATTATCAGTGGGCAAAGAGACTTGGCAAAAAAAAACAGCAGGGAAAGGAGGGATTAATCATTTGTGAGCAGCCCCAGTAGTGGAACAAGTGCCACTGGGAACGCCTCCTCTACCTGTCCCTACCCCACAGCTCTGCTGGAGACCATGGACTGCAGCTCCACAGGGTGGAGGTCTCTGTGAGGATGGAGGAACACAGAGGACACCCCATGCTCTGCTCTTGTTGGTGTTCAGCTCCCACCATGTGGTGGGTGAAGAGCAGAGGCCCCCGGGTGTGCTGCCCTGCCGGGAGCCATCCCAATGGCCTCTCTGCCCTGGGACCTCGCCTGCTGTAAGCAGCTGGGTGGCACGTCGCAGCTCGTGGTGACCAGCTGCCCAGTGAAGCTGGGGTGACAGGCAGGGCGAGCAGCCACGTGCGGCATGGTAAATGTGTGAGGCATTAAGTGCAGGGGTAGGGGGCCCAGGGTAGGAGGCAGACAAATTGAGTCTCCCGTGCTCAGTGTGAGCATGGTACCATGGTGGGTTAGGGATCACAGCAAAGTGCAAGTGGGTTGTGTACAGGGTTCACTCAGAAGAAGGAGCCAGTCTGTGCTGGTGGCCTTCAGGTTTTGTCTGAAGTGAGCCCTACTCCTGCTCCAGGCTGGTCAGCCTTTTGCAATCTGGTTGAGGTCACTAAGGCTGAGTTACAAGTGTCGGAGGGTGAGCAGCAGGTATTCAAAAACCCTAATGTCTCAGCATGTCTTGTCTAGCCTACAGGATCAGAACAAACATCCCTTTCAATCTCTGCTGGACAGTTAAGACTGTGTGACCACAGCCAGAGACAGTTGTGGCTACTCTCAGTGAAGGCGGCCTCAGAAAACCATCTAGGCATAAAGAGGATGACTGAGCCAGGAGCAAAATTTTCCTCTTTGAAGATATTTTTTCCAATATCCCATACCAGTAACCTTACTTCTTTTGGTGCAGAAAGGCAGGACACACCATCTTGGCAGGGAAAAAAACAACTGGGACATCCAGAGTATTGGCATACGTAACATCGTTCTCTGGGACTTGCCTAGCATCTCCCATAGGAGAAATGTCAACCAGTCACCAATGCACCAAATCATGTTGTCACCACCTAGTGCTGCATTTGTCATTAAAAAATACCAGTGACAAATTCCCAGCTGTTATTTATAGTTTAACTCTGTCAGTTTGGTATTGGAGGAATGAGGCCAACTAAAAGACGTAGGGCTTCCAAACCTTTACCCTGTTTTTGACTTTGGCTTTGCTTCAGGCTTATTTTGGCCTCTTGGGGTGTCCATTTTCCCATTTGTATAAAGGGAAAATTTTCCCACCCCTGCTGTGGCTGAACTTTTCCCCTGGTTTAAGAGTTTTATCTATATAATACCCCTTTGCAGGGAGGGTATAGTTGTTATCCTCAACAAATATAGGGAAAAATGGAGGTCTGGATAGGCTAATATATTTGCCCAAGGTCACATAGGATGGTCAGTGGAAGAGCAGGGACTTGAACCTGAGGTATCCCAGCTCAGAAACTAATGCCTCCTACCATTCTTTCTCCCTGGAGACTTTACTGGTGTTGCACGGGAAGGGCAGAGTGGGCCCCGTTTCTTCTGTTGCTTTTTTTTATGAGTGCGTTGACGTGGTCTAAATTGAAAGAAAAATACAAAAAGACTGCCATAAATTATCCATATACAAAGGCCTTATTCACATATATCCTATGGTCCTTCACATCTTGCTGGCAGGGTGCAAATGAAGATAACATCCCCTCTGACATACCCCCTGCCTCAGAGGAACTTCAAGCAAATAAAAGTGCCCTGGTGACAGGACATTTGCAATTTCTGAGGCCAGAACAACTCTTTTCCCCAAAACACTGAAGCCTCCCCAAATGCCTGCCAGAACTTGTCAGCCAGGAGCCTCACCATCCACATGGTACCCCCTTAGGTACAATGAAAGGGGGGCTAGATTTCTGCCTCCCCCTCCAGCATTCCCACTGACATCAACAAGAACTGGTGGCTACTCCATGGGATTTGTGGGCATTCGGTGCCTTAAAACAAGGCTGTAAAGACAGTCGCCTACATTGTCCCCCACTGTGTGGGACATTCACCCAGCACACACTTGGTGGAGTACTGGGACATAGTTGTTTTGGCGTCTTGTACCTCAGCCCTTATTTACAAATGAAGTCAGAAATTAGGAAGAGCTGCCACACGGGGGTTTAAAAGCACTATGGAGGAAGGCAGCAGCAGGGCTTGGCCCCCATCACAGCCAGCCCCTAAAAGTTGGGAGTTTCCTTTCCTTTCTGCCAGCAGGCTCAAGGGAAAGGTTTTTCCTATTTGACTTGGTTATCCTTTCCAGGTCCATTGGCTCTCTTGTCTGTGCCAGCAGTAGCTTCCGAGCTTAATGGACTCCAGCATCCCAGGCTGAGGGGAAGTTCTGAGGTGGGACTACATTAACGTGGCAATGGACAAGCAAGGATCATTCTCCGGTCTCTTTACTCTGCAAGGGCCTGATTTTGCATATCCTTGCATGAAAGGAGAAGGGAAAGGCAGTCAGTGTACTGTAAATGATGACTGGGATGGCCTGGAAGTGATAAAGAAAGGACTGATTTGCCCCTTGTCTATAAAATGGATGAATGTTGAATGATGTTGGCCACGGCAGCTGCATGATGATTTTTAGAGCCAGTTAAGGAATTTGGTTTCCTGAAAGCCTGAATGTATTTTACTGATGTCTCAAAAGTATGTATATTACATGGAGATGTGATGAATATAAAGCAATAATAAAGGCTAAGCAGAATTAGCGAGCCAAATAATTGCCTACTAAAAACTATCCCTGGTTTCACAATCAACTGTACTGGACCACTACATTCTGTGAACTTTGCCTTGCCCTTAGCTGCAGATTATATCACAGAAGTTACTCTCATATTGAAGCACTGGTATAGATTAAGGTGTCTTGACACTCTGGATTTTACTTAAGCAATTACAAGAGCCCTTTCTACAAAATGTATTGCTTTTATTCCAGAAAAATAAATTCCCATGTACAATTGGGTTTTCATAACATGAAACAATTAGCCATTTTATTGCTAGTGCATATAGGGTAATGTCACATTTCATACAATTTCAGTACAAGTGAAAAAATATAATATATGGCTGATTGAAATTGATAGCTACATTAACATTTATAGATCTATATAGATTTATTTTACAAGCTGTTAGTAGTTTAGAGGGATATCGGTGTTTTAAACTACCAACATTCATATGGCTCCAATTCAAATATATGAATTGTTTGATGCACTATAAATATATTCCAAAGTACATTTCGTTGAAGAAGTCAAAGCTGTGCACTAAAATATATCGAAAACATGCCTTGTGAAAATGCTACAGACAGAGCCCTGACTGTCTGTGGAGCATGAAAATGCCACTGGTGCTAGCATTGGAAAATGAAAATAATGCCATGATTACAGGATTAGGTGATGGAGATATATGCTTTCTGTCATCTTATTTCATAGAGCTGGGACAAAATTCTCTTCTGTTACTCAGTGTAAACCAGGATGAAATCCACAAAATTAGCAGAATTGCTTCTGGGTTAGAGTTAGGCGAACAAGACCCAGAATCTGGCTGGAGGTCAGGCACAGGCTCACTGGTTTCAGTAGAGCTGGCCCCAGACCTTCACCAGTGGAAGTGAGAGCAGAACGTGTTCCAGCTGAGTTGTTCCCCTAAGGCAGGCAGGCAGGATCTGAGCACATAATCACATCTGCCCAACCCTACAGATTTCTAGTATCTCCTAAGTTTCAGGTCTCATGAACAGCACCAAGGGCTGATGGCAAACAGAAACTTAGGCAGGGACTTGAGAATTTTCCCAAGTTGGAAAACAAAGTAGCCCAAGCCCCTAGGATAGTCAGCATGGGCCACATCCTGCTCTTAGGTTCAGTTGTGCCTAAATCCAAAGCCATCCTGGCAGCATTAACCTGGATTACCTCTGCAGAGAATTTGCCCAAAGGACAAGAGGGCTGAGTGCTGGCAGCAAAGAAGGCACTGAGATTCGGATGAGACGGGAAGAGCTGTCAGGGCTGGAATCACAGTCAGTTTGTTAGCTGGCTTCCTTCCCTCCTATCTCCCCACTCTTGGCCCCAGTGTGGTCCTAAAAGGGCCACGTGGAAGGTTCTCTCTACCTCTAGTAGCATTTCTCCCATTGCTTACTGTAAAAACACAGGGGAACAAAGACTTTTTTTTTTTAACTCTACCCCTTGTTTCGCAGATGCATTTGCAAAGCAACCAGTGGAGGGCATTCAGCTACCTGTACCACCTCACATCTGCCCTGGGGCCATACCCTTACCCACATTTCTCCAAGAATGTATTTCTTTTGCAAATGACTGGATTCCAGCCCTGCCTTTACCCTACAGATGCAGGGGGGCAAGGTTCAGCATGGTTACAGCGCGGTTACTGAGGGGTGGGAATGTGGTGGCAAGGGTGGGAGGGATACTGAGTGCACAGGTAGGCTTGCTGGCCAAAATGCTACTGCTGGATCAATCACAGCCCAGGGCTCTGGGCAAGCAAGGGAATACTTTGTACCATCACTTGTCTCATCTTCCATCCCAGGAAGGCTGGAGCCCACACCTGCAACTCAGCACGGAAATGTTCTCTGTGCTTCTCTTGATAGCCGTAAAATTGAACTGAGATATGCTGGGTAGACCTCAGGGTATCCCTGATCCCCTGCTTTCAAGGGAAATAAAAATAGATTTTAAAAGTCTGAACTTGCCAAGTATGGCTGGTTTTGATCTGGCCTTGTGGGAGAGCCTTATTCATGGCAGCGCACCTTGCCTTGGCCGATATTAATAGTACTCCACACTGGCCAGCAGAGAAAGACCCCCCCCAGGCCTCAGCTGCCTGTGCAAACAGACCCCTGGTGTAACATGGAGAAGGGGCTCCAAAGAAACTGGAACAATATAGATTTTGAAATAATTGTAGTTTGGCTTGGGGAAGAGGGAGCATAAAGGAAGCATTTTCCTTGGGAGAACGGCTTTTTTCAAAAGAGGATGAGTTGGGGACCCCAGAACAGATTCATTGGGATAGATTTTGCCTCAAACCCTGGCAAAGGTCTTAGTTTAACATTTAGGATATACTAGAAGCTGTTGTTTTAACACAGACTAGGTCAACTCCAAACCCATCTTCAAAACAATATCTGATTCCATGAATACTTTGTCCGCATGGTAAAAGCCAGCCCTTAACGTTCTACCCTTTAATATCTCAGGATGTTAGCTGTTAAGTCCATTTGTCTCTTGCCTTACTTGTTTAAAGCTTTCTCCAGATATTCCTGGATCCACTTTAACTTGGGATCAATGCACACTTGCTTGCTGTTGCTCTTGAGCCTTGCACTGCCAAAGGAGAAAAGTCAGAGTGAGTCTAGTGGACGATGCTCCTCAGCCCACACCCCCCCCAGGTGCCTTATTTTGCACACAGGTTTGCAATTCCATTTTGGGCAGTAGAGCTGTGTTCAGCTTCCTTGAGTGCCAGTGCTGCTCTCAGTTAATCCATGAAGAGGATGAGTTAGCCCTGCCACCCTCAAGGCACCCATTATAAATATCCCTGGGTTCAAAGCACTGGTACAACATGTCTCCTCCGATGATGATTCTTGTGGTCTGTACTGGTACACATATGGGAGTGAGACGGATACAGAATTTAAATCTAAGTTTTCCAACTCATACCTGGGCTGTTACAAGTTCAGTGCCGGGAACAGCTAAATTTCATTTGGAAATACTGACATGGTAAATATAGGTCATTTTTGCAAGGAATTCATTAGGAACAGCTTTCAGATTCAACCCAAAATTGAAGTTTCACCAAACCATACTTCTTGGATGTCCTGAAAGGATCTGGTTAGCTTTTTGTTTTATAGAAGACTGAGGTTGCAGGCAGGAAGACAACTGGAAGTACCATAGTGCCAGAGGCAAGGTTTCCCTCATGTATTCACTCAGCACTGGAAACAAAAGCAGAAACTTCCTGAGGGGTTTCTCCTGGCTGTCCAAGCTGCACTTTCCAAACCAGACTCTTCAGCTAATTTGAATTCCCTGTGAATTTGACATTTGGGCTACCTGCATCTTTCCTGCAGAAGCAGTACAAATAGCTTTTCTCCCACATCAGCAGTCTCAGCCTCCAGGGATCTCAGGGCCTCTTGAGAGTGCTGTGATCTCCCACGTCCCCCGCAGCACCCTGCCTCTGCCCCAGCTGCTCAGAAACTTCCCCTTAAACAGCCTGCCTGCCAGGCAAAAGCACCAAGAACAGCAATTTCATGGAAATGCCCATAGGAATAAGTTCAGTACTTGTTTAAGAATTTTGCTGGATGGAAGCCAAAACGTTCCCTGCTTTATAACATGAAATCTGTAGGATATAAAACTATGGCGTAAGAAATAACAGGTCAAAAAAGTTCCTTGGTCTGAAGTGATGCAACAACACAGTTGTAACATAAACACATCGAAGACCCAGTCTTGCAATCCCTGCGCCAATAAAAAGATGAATGGGCCTAATTCATATTTCCCTTATAGCAGTGCCAAGCTGGAGTATTTCCAGTGAAGTGATACCAGTAAGAATGGATTTGCTGATGTTAGCAGTGCCTGGGAACTCTTGAGCTGGCCTCACAGGGTACAGAACCAAAAGCATGCGTAACCAGCCTCCAGCCACATGCAATGCTATTCCTCTCATCTCATATTAAGACATTGGGGTTTTTACACATTTATTTCTGAGCCTGTCAGCCCCTGCTCCTTGTACAGTCCCAGCAGAGACTTAGGCAACCGTATGGAGTGTTAACCTGAACTGATTTAGGTGTCTACTTCAGGGTGCAATTAACTACATGCTAAAAATGCCTATTTCCCTGTACTGAAAAGCAGGGAATTTAGGTTGGGCTTTGTAGAAGTAGATATACACAGAGGAGATTTCTGGATTTAGAGAGGTGACTTCCCATAGAACCAAAGACAAAAGCCTGCTCTTGGGCTTTTTGTCAGGTACAATTCCCCTCAACCATAAAGGGGGATGTACTTTTGCAAAAAAATACAAGATCTTTCCTTGAAACCACATGATTTCATTGACATTCTCTATTCCTGAAAATGGTAGCTTTTAAGTTACTCACACCTCCACTGTATAATGTGTACCCACTAAATTCCGAGTGTGGTTAAAGCCATCAGGATGAGAAATTTCTGTGTTAGTTCTGATTCCATTTCAGCTTCTGTTTCGATAGACCTGGTTTGAACTCATGATGTTTCAGGGGTATTTGGAGGTAAGTTTTTAAGTACCTTTACTGTTTAAAGTAACAAAAAGATGATGAACCATAGGTTCATGTGTTCTGTGTGCCACTAAATCACGTTGCAAACAAACACATTTGGGTCAGGAATGGACAAGAACATGAGTTGTTTGTGTTTCTGCATTTCATGCTCTTATCCATCTCTATGACTATGATCCCATATTAATTAAGAGATAAGTGTATACTCTATCCTGTCTTAAATGCCTGTCATTTTCTTGAAACTACTCCAGAAAATTCCAAATCCTCTACAAAGCCTTAGCGCTGGGACCCTTATGACATCCATTGACAGTCCCAGAGCACAAATCCATACACTATTGCATTTTGGATGCTTGCCTCCAAAATTGTTTATAGGTAGAGATCAGAGTCAGTCACAGCTGGTTTTGCCATTTTTGTGAGAGGAAATTATTTCTCAGCTGAGGCTTACATTTTTCTCACTGTCCTCCCACAAATCCTAAGGCAGAAGCACACAGGAGAAAATGTGTGTGATCTACCCAGTGTGGTTTAAAAAAGAAAAAAGTCACATGAATAAAAACTGGTTCATGAATGCATACATGCTCTTCAGTGTATCTGTACCTTCCTGAGAAATCTCATGAAACCACATCAGTTTTCTGAAAGCGGAAATGTTTTAGATGACAAAGAATGGATTTTTATAGCATTTAAGTTGCAACTGGAAGAGCTCATCACAGATTGAAGACAGAACTAGTGATGGAAGCACTGCACAGAAACTTAGTCTGGTCACTGAGACCCTCCTAGAGAGGTCAACAGAAGCTGATGAGTAGTAGGGCTTCCCTGCTGTGAAAAGATGAATTTTTTTTCTCCTTCTGAAGATTTTGAATTTGGGGAGAGGAAGGAAGGAGTCACCCATCAACAAATGAACCAAAAAGACCTTCCTAAACACACACATACACACAAATCTACAGCCTCACGTTTCATGAAAATCAGTTTCTTTTTCAGCAAAACCAAAGAGGTTATTTTTCATTGGGAACCCATCATTTCTGTCCTGTTGTGATCTGTGATTTACTGGAGCCAGCCACTGCCTGGTAAGCATGTCCCTAGATCAGGCCAGCACAGGTTTAGGCTCTGCACCTCCTGTGGAGGCTACATGAAATCTAGGAATTACTTTTGCTTGGTTAGCTCCTCTCTGTGGAGAAGTGGAGCATTAGAAGTCTCAGACCACTGTAAAGTCTTTTCCCCGAGGTGTGAAGCTCCACATCCAAGGCAATAGGCAGCCTGTCTGACCCTCCTGCTCACGTACCCACGGGGGAAGCAGAACATGGGATCACATAGTCACAGGGAGATCACAGAGGTAGAATGCAGCGGGGAAACATCTACCTGGGCTCCCTTGTGCAGGATAAAGCAGGGTCCAGCAGTATCTGACACACGGGATGACGAGATGAATTGGAAATCAAGGCATGAGACACAGACCTAACTGCAGCCACCAAAGCAGGAACCAGCTCTGTGACTCTCCTTCCCTTTTGACACCTGAGGTCTGCACCCAGCTGAAAAGAGTGAGAGACTTACACAATCTGAAGCGAGCAGTTGGGTGTGGAGAGGATTTTGAGGTGCTTAATGTTGGCTCTCGCCACGTTGCTCTCGTAGAATCGGCAGGGGCATCGGTAAGTCAGGCTGACGGGTTTCTCTGCGGGACACAGGGAGGGAAAGGACACGTTACTCCTCTTGCTCGGGCCGGCAGCACAGATACACCGACCAGGTCCCAGAAATTCCCTCCAAATACGCAAGTGGAAAAAAAAAAGCAATAGAAAAGCTGTAGCTTTGGGAGAGCATTTGCCCACGGCCCACAGCACAACCCTTTTACCCCCGTACCCAGCCTTTCAATCCTGGTGCGTGGGATTTTGAAAGACAAAAGAAGAGGGAGAGAAAATGGAGATAAGTAAAGAAGAGGAGATTAGAATAAGGAGCCGCTCCATTGTGTGGGGATGCTCCTGGTAATTAGACAAGATAAAGGCCAAAAGAGGGGGCACTTGTCCTCAGTGTTGTTCTTGCCAAATGATTTTGACCCGAGGCCAAATTAGAAGGTAGCCAGAAGAAAGCGATGAATTCCAAAGCGTTCAGATCAAACCGGCTGGGCTCAGGTGCAGGCTTTTCACGGGGGACTTGCTGGCTACAGAAAAGCCCCGAGCCTTTCAGGCTTTCCCAGGGCCCAGCGGCTGACCTTCCCCCACCACAGCCAACCTCCGCTCCCAGCCGGGATGTCCCCAGGAGGAGGTGCGACTCCGAGATCCCAGGGGTTCCGCAGGAGAGATTTGGGGTCCTTTGAACTCCCAGCCTGTGGCAAAGTAACAGCATCCAAGGCGACAGTTACCAGGCAGCGTGCTCCCCATATACTAATCAAACCCCATCAGGTTGGATGAAAGCCTTGTCACTGGCATCACTAGGGACAGAATTAAGTTTAGCCCCCTAAACTAAAAATCAGCAATGAATATGCAGTGCAGAACTGAGGAAAGCAGCCTGGCGCTCGCCGCAGCCACTGATGCAGCCCTTCTGCTACCCGATTTCTCTGCGGAAGAACTTAGCTGCTGGCAACCAAGTGCACACAGAGAAGGTCTTCACTCTGTGTGCAAGCTTCAAAGCCCCATGCATGCTAAAATACAAACACAGAAGCCTTGCCTGGGATTCTAAAAGGAGCTGCCTGAGATTTTAAACCATTTCCCAGTGGAGCAGTTTTCAGCCTCTGGGAGGAATTAAATTCATACACCTAACCCATAAGGTCTGGCTCATGCCATAGGTGGCCAGATCTGTATCTGATAGGGCTTTAGATCCCACAGAGCAATCTGCAGCCCTGTTTATTTAGCCACACAGGAGCACTCACAGCGTCCAAACCCAGTTCCCTTAAAGGCACATGGAGAGCTTAAGAGCAGGGAAAGGCTTGGAATCCCTAAACTGCTGTCTAGGAAGGTGAGAAAAGGGACAGCTTTTCAAAGGGCAGCTGATCTGCATATATTGCACATTTACCAATGCCTATCTCTAGCACATATAACCACAGAGAACATGGTGAAATTACCCAGTCCTCATGAGGGAAAACTTTTTTCCAAATGCCTCTATCAAGAGATGAGCCAGAATCAGATTCCACAGGCAGACGGGCAAACAGAGAGGAATTCATCTGTGGGAGCAAAGTTCCTCCAGATTCACACCAGGATCTGGACTAGAAGTTAACAAAATTGGAGGAGTTTTTCCATCAGTTTTATGGCAGTCAGTCAGTCCAAATAGTGGTATCATCTATGAGTTAATAAATGGGAGGAGAAGCTCCCGTCTGCAGGAGGAGGAGGAAGGAGGGCTGCAGGTTGAGCCTCGGGAACATGCAATAGACTGGCCAGTGGTAATGTGGAAGGGAGAGAGAAAGGTGCCAGGATTTTCCACCACAAATCTGTGCCTGATAGCTGCACATCAGTGAGTTTGTACTGGAAAGGGAGGCTGAAACTGAGTGCAGCCATACAACAGTGCACAGCACAGCTGCGGTGGAAGTGTCACTGCAAGCTTGTACCAACGAGGTTTAAGCAAGCTTTACCCTAAACAACATGCAAGAGATTAACTGTTCAGATCTATGTTTTCAGAATGCAATCCTGTCCTCTCTGAGACTGGGAGAGGGACTTTCGATCCTGTCCCATTTGAAATCAGAGGCAGAGAAAGTTTAACGATGACTAACATGCCCGTGAGTCCCGAAGTTGTTTCCTGCCCAGGAAAGGGCATCCAGCACAGCAAGGAAGAGGGGAAGCCCCAGCATTCGGTGTTCTGTCACCCCCAGTGCAAGGTGGAATGACAGCTCCCCTCACAGCACAGGAATCCCTTGGGCATTTCTGTCCATCCCCCTTGCTTGGTGCCCTGAAACAGGCACTGAGTGCCAGGGAGCAGCAGCACAGGCACTGGGTCAACTCTCAGCATCACTAACAGGGACCCAATACCTCCTGCCACTGCCCCTCCAGCACTCCAGCACTCCAGCTCCAAGAGCTTGGCTGTGGCTCATTCTGCTCTCAGCAAGGCTGAAAACCAGGGAAAACTAGTGCATGTGCTGTGTCCCAACACGTGAGCCCCTGTCACCCTAAAGTAGCAGGGGGAAGGAGCCATAATCTGGGAAAGGGACACTTCTGCTCTTACCCCGAGACTGACAAATATGTTTCTTATCTCATTTCAAAATCTGAAACAAATTGATCCATGCAGAGTAGAGCTGATGAAGCCAATTATCCTACAGGTTTGTACTGCAGGAGTTAGTGCTCTGTGGGTTCTCTGATGTCTAATAAGCACTGCGCACAAGCTGAAGCTGTTCTCTCAGTAGGGTAAATCAGTGCAGACTGTTAAACACCAGTTTTCATTAAACTGATGGTACCTAAAGCTTTTGAGATCTTTATCTGTTTGGCACATTTGGTTAAAATGGGTGAATATAGTCAAAAGTTACAGAAGAGCCAGATGCTACTCAGACATCTCAGTGTCATTCCTTCAGCCTTATTTCCTTAGGCAAAAGAAAAAGAGAATACTTCTTTTGGTCTCGTCTAGAAGGGTTCTTGGGTTTGGGTGTTTAAGTTTGGGGTTTTTTTTAATAAATAGTTTTGCTGTTTTCTAACTCAAAGCCGAGTTTTGATGGCTCTGAACACCTACTTCGGCTGGCAAATTGTCTCTTAGACACAAAGTGCTCACAAAAACCTCCCTCACAGAGTGGCCGCTTACTGAATTTGGGCAGTACCTATTTCAGCCCATAGTGATCTGCCTTGCCTCACCCCCGCTGGAACTGGACACTAAGGGAACAAGCACCGTCTCAGTTCTGCTGCAACGTTACCATCAGTAACTTGCTGCACGGACTGGGAAGCCCTGGGCATTTGACTGGAGAGGGAAGCTATAGCCAGGCAAGCAGGTTGGGCTAAACAGGCAAAACATTTGAAGGAAGCATCATTTTACTCCTGTTCATCCAAAGGTGCATTTGTCAATATCAGGAGAGGGCTGGCATCCTTTTAAGACCAGAACAGCAACATTTCCCTGGGAAGTGAGGCTGTGACAGGCAGATACAGCTTTACCAGGGTGGCTGGGAAGAATTCAGAGCTCACCTGCCCTCCAGGACAAGGTAGCTCTGCAAGCCTTCATCTGGATCAGGGCTAAGAGCACAAGATGACATGCAAAGAAGTAGGCAAAAAACTTCGCTCTTATCACTGCAAGCTTGTGGGGTCTCTCTCTTTACACTATTTTTTCTCCAACCCTTTTAAGCCGTTCCCTTACTCAGGTAGCCAGGTCCTGTACACGCTTACCCTTCCATAAGGATACCCGCTGCCACTTTGCTGCCAGCTAAAGAGTGCTGCCGGGCAGGGAGCAAAGCGAGGTGCCCTCTGCCAGCCTCCCAGCCCTCTGCTGAGGGCTGCCAGAGGGGAGGCGAGGAGAGGGAGAGCCCCTGAGCCCCCGGCCCCTCAGTCCTGCACCTCCTGTCCGGGCTGCAGCCCCGCTGAGGACCAGCAGCCCTTCTCCATCTCGCTCCAGACCCGCA